CCATTTTCTTTATCTATTGGAGATATCCTAAAAGTAAAGTTATAAGGAATAAATTATTGTTCTATTTCATCAAAATTTTAATAATCTCTTATTTATTATCCATTTGAAATCATTATATAATCTTAACTAATTTTCCCAATTTAATATGAACTAACTTTTATTATATCTGTTATATTCTTTATATCTCAGATATCATTACACTCAATTATTAATTCAGACAAAAATCCATATTAATCATATTATAACATTTTCTATTATTTTCTACCCTATTTATAATACTAATTTTATTGGTGAATCTGCAATATTCTTTCCAAAAATTAATTCTTAATTATTTTTAAATTTTTGGAGAATTAAGAGAGTAATTTCCTAAAAAAATAGCGCCACCTATTTGTTTTATTTATTATCTGCAAAGATAGAATTAAAAATTAAAAACTATGAATTCTCTTTGTATTCCATAAAATAATTAAACTTTAAATATCGATACTTAATCAATTTATTTTCTTTAATAAATGAAGTATTCTCTAATCAAAATAAATGATTCCACCTAAAATATTAGCAGTATTATGAGTAAATTAACAATTATTATTTAGAATACTAATTCCTGATATTATTAAAGCTCCTCCAAAAGAGGCTTTATTATTATAAAATTTACTTACTTCAATTTTTATTGTAAGAATTGTTGCTTCGCTTTATTATGAAGTGTCTGCTAATTGCCGATGATGAAAATAATTTTAAAGAATTTTTATCTAAATTACTCAAAAATAGGCAACCTAACAATCCACATTAATTGTCGAACAAATTTAAGTATTTTAATTAAATTAAATTTTTGTTTTAATTTCCTAGATTCCTTCATTTCAACTTTGGCAATTGATAGAATTTAACTTATTTAATTTAAAAAACAATTTATGTTTACTTGACAATGAACTAATTACTTTGAATCATAAAATTCTTTTATTCCTTTAGGAAATTTATAGTTTTTAAATTTTAACATTTAATGAAGATAATGGAATTTATGGGTTGGATAAAGTAGTCTAATATTCGTTAATTAATTCCAATTAACCTTTGTAAATTTTATAGAAGATTCAAATTCTAAATTATAATAAGTAATATTTACTTGTATTTTAGTTAATTTGAATCAATTTAAAATTTATTAATTTTATAATTGATAAAGTAACATTAGTTATAAAAATTTAATGAGCATTTTTAACATTAATGATACCGAATTAAAAATGTTTCTAAAATAGACATCCTCTAAAGTTATTTTGCTGCCTTCAATTGATACTAAGGAGTTCTGGAAATACAATATTCGAATCAAAAATTATGAAATTTTAATTTTTAGAAGGTTTAATAAAAATTACTTTTCCTTCTTTTCTGCTTTAGCTTAGGAAGTTATATATTTAAAATTGATTAGTACTACCACTTTATGATTTATCATGAAATAATAAAGTAGATTGACTTTAAACAAAACTTGAATTTATAATTTGAATAATTCCATTTAAGACAGTAAATAAATAAAATGATCCACCTTGCAATGCCATACAGTTATTAGTTGTAATGTTTATTCATCCTCTGAATAACCCCAAATCAAGTTAACTTTCAGATTCTCAAACTTTAAAATATTTTATTCATAGAATTGTGTATTTTATATTATTAAAGATCTTAAAAATAATTAGATTTGAACCAAGACTAGCTGTGACTAAATTTCAAAAAAAGCCGAATCTTGTGTTGTTATAAGTGATTTGGGATTCATAATTAATATTGTTGATGATTATCTAAGCTTTTGATCTTCGTAATAGCAATGTAACACATTATTATAAGTAATTATACTATTTAGATTAATAGTTTGCTCCTATTAAGAAACAGTACTTAAAATAGCTAATTCTTCAGATTATCTTGTTGTAATTAAATTATTGTTAATATAGATGTGATCAATAATACTAGTAGATTTGTTAGACTCTAAAGCTTGTTCTCTCTATAGATTTTATAATTATTAATGGAGAATTTATTGTAATGAAAATTTTCAATAGCGCCTTCATAAATTATAAGTTTTCTTATTTTATATAATAAAATGATGCTTCCATATCCATTTTCTAAACTTATATTTAAGCAAGATTATGATGAATGGATAGGTTTAAATAGTTATATTAAATACAGATATTTCAACTAAATCTGTGTTATTTATTGAGAACTCAGGTAGATAAAGGAGCGAATAATCTAAGTATTTTTTAAAGTAATTTTTTAGCCATTTAAATATATTTTGAGGAATTAGATGTAATTATTAGGTCATTAATTTGAAGTACTAATTATTGCGGAACTAGCTACTTCAAACATTCATGTGATTTATATAATTTATTATTCAATTTATTTTGCCAATCAATATAACATATAATCCAGAAAATAATCTCATGTTTAAAATTAAAGGTTTATTTTAGTATAATCCTAGGAATTATATTCAATATTATTAAAGAGGTATAAATCATTTAATAGTGACAGCTCAAAATCTTTTTCAAATTTTAATTTTGTTTGTCTTTATCTACAGCATTTATTTTTGCTTGCTCTAATCTCATATTTTTTTAAGGAAAGCTTACAGCGAGCAATTAATTTTCATCAAGTAATTTTTAGTCTTAATGATAGATAAAATGTTTGTCAGACTGATATTTTTCATCCTAAAATTTAAATCACTATCTCACTTTATAAGTTTTATTATCAAAATCTTTTACCAACTAACAACTATTATTTATAATATTAATAATTGGATTTTAAATATTATGTAAGTTACGTTAAAATAAACATAGTATAAATAAAATTAATTCTTCAATTTTCAACAACTCATCTTAATGACTATTTTTCATCAGAAACAACAATATCGTCTCCACAAATATGTTTATAACAATTATTTCAAAGAATCAAACCTTCGCTTCATCTTATGCATTTTTCATTCTAATGATTTGATTGTACTCTGGAAAAATATTCGCAATCTTTGCAATTAGTTGTAAAGGAAATCAAAACATTATTATTAATTAACAAAAAGGATTATACTTATAGCATCATCACATTTTTCATTTCCAATAATTATCATATTGCCACAACTACATGACAGATTTACTCCGAAGACAAAATTATGAAACTCTACAATCCAAATATTTATTTAGAGTATGCTAAAAACAATAATTGGGGTTTTAATTTTAAGTAATATTAGAAAGATTTTCGGCATTCATTATTTGATTCAAAATAACTATGATAGCAAATACATTCTTAAAATTTGGTTTGCATTAATGGATAATAAAATAGTGTGAATAATATCCCCAATAAGCATAGATAGGTTTATTATTGTATCTTTAATTCCAACTCTACTTAATTTTATTTTAATTATGCAAGTGGAATAGGTATTTCTAGCTTCCATTTTATTTCTAGTAAGTATGAAATTAAATAATAAATGAAATCATTATAAGTAATTAAATATATATTTATAGGTTTTCAATGAAATATACTAATCAATCTTTTTTTCAATTATAATTTATAATCTCTTGCTTTTGGTAAGGCTTATTCTTAATTGGACTTCAATAAATTATCAGCTTCAATTATTTAATGGATGAATCATTCTTAAATTATTTATGGCTTAATTATCCTGAATTAGGTGAACTCAACAAGACCTAAATTAATTAAACAATAGAACTTATTTATAATGCTGTGACGTTTTCTGGTTATTATTTGGTTAATCTAATTCAGATTTTCTCTGTATACTAATCTGATGAAATAATTCAAAATCAAATACCCTTCTCTTATATATTGTGTATTAAGAGGTCCCTCTACTAAAACCAAATAATATTTGGATTGTTGTTGATCCTGATTCACATCAATTCCTTATACTTTATTTTAACCTAAATTTTATGTCTCTTTGATAATCCTTGGAATTGATAAAGCCCTATTTGTTTGACATAATATTTTTATTAACATATATAAAATAATATTTATTCTCTTAATTAATTAATCTATTTCAAAAATAAATGTAATTTAAATTGTCAACAATAATTTAATGATTAAAAATATTCAAAAATATATCCTGAAAATAAATTTTTAATGATATATCCTTAAAACTATATAATCTTCATCAATAAAATTCATCAAAGAAATTTCTGTTCTAATTTTATCTTATAATAGCCCATCCTTATTAAGCATAAATAAATCCTTCTTCGTCTTTAGCTACACCCAAAAATCCGGCATTAAATTTAAGATCCATAATTACTTTAGTTCTCTAATTAATAAGCTTTACAGGGGCTTAGGATATTCCAGTGGGTATTTATTTTTTAGGCAATTGGGGATGTTTTGTTAATTATTTTGAAAATTAATTTCTTACAAACTTATTATATAGATCTTCTACATTTGCATTTTCATTTATTTTATATGAGAAGAAATTAGTAATCCAACCCGTTGCATATTCAGGTGTTGGATCATAAATACCTTTCTTGTTTTAATATCTATAGATATCTTTCCAAAATGCATGATCTATATTTCCTTTATGTAAATTAATGAATTAATCTAAAATGGGTAATATTCTGTCTAACCACCAATCTAATCCAAATGTTTTAAGTTTTTCAGTATTTTTTCTTAAGCATTCCCAATCCTCTAATGTCCCTAATAATTTAATTTTTGATATTCCACATCCACAGGACATACTATAACTAAAATACTTTTACATAGTATCCATCAAACTTACCTCATAGCAAGTCCTAGAAATTTAATCTGTTGTAGAGTATTTGTGTACACATAGATTGTATTACTCATTTCCAATATCTGCTTTAATTTGATTTGAAAAATTATTGATTATACTTTCCCAATCATAATTATTAATGTCTTCTGATTCCATGAATATTTTTAGTTCCTTTTATCCTTCATGTTATACAAACCTTTTTCTGAAATATTCAGCATTTTCTTTTATATGAGCACAGAAGCCTTAATTTATTAATAATTATATGTTATCTGGACTAAATTTTAGTGGAAAATGATTGTAATAAGCATAATGAACCATTAAAAGAAATTAATTTGTTATACTAGGACTGCTATAACACTTATACAAAATATTGGCCTCAGTTAGACTTGATTTAATTATTTAACCATCAAATAAAGAAAAGAGGAACTGGTCCTGCTTTTAAGAAATTAAATCTTTGTAATCATATTTTAGATCAGGATCAATAATAGCAATACAATCCTTTTATTATTTCTTACTATAGTTTTATTCAATCTCTTATTCTAATGTCTAGCATTCTTATGTATCTTATTCGTATGGTTTAATCATAATATTTCAATTTTACTAAAATATATTTACCCATTACATTTGAATCTAACTTTTCTTTAATAGAATTAAACTAATAGAATTACATTTTAAAAATAAAATAATTCTGTTTATTCTGTTTAATTTTATAATTTAAAAATATTAAGTGGGTTATCTAAAATTCTATTATTTTTATTGATTTTCAAGAATTATCAATTATGAATTTAAAAATTTTTTATATGATTTCCTATTAAAAAGGAAATATTTGTATTAATATTTCTTTCTTTAGATATCCTTTTTGTTAAATTTATGACACATATTTCATAATTCAATAAAAAAATGAAATGGAGCACCTCAAAAGCCTATTTAGCCTTTTTAACATGAATGATGAATTAGCCAATTTATTCATCCTTGAGATGATGACATTACTTAAATTAATAGTTCTATAATTGCTCATAAATTTAATCGATAATTATAATTAATGCTAAAAAAATACGAGAACATAACATAATCAACTAGCCATACAATCTTTAATATTTTAAATATAACATTATTTCCTTAATAAATTTGCAGCATGACCTGTATTAGGTTTGCCTGAAATTAGATAAGTGTTAAATTAAATTTTGATTTGAAAGCATAATACCTTTGAACTAACATATAGTTCTCTTTTAAATTATTTTGGTTGCTTTTTTGATGTTGTTGTATTGAATGCATAAAATTCAATTGTTAGATCTAGTATAAATAATTTAAGCTCTCATCTTTTTTGTTTCTTATTTTTTATCTGTTAATTTTCAACCCCTACAACTTTTTTAAGATGCTAATCACAATAATAATTTACCAATTATTTATTATAATAGATTGGTAAAGTTTAAATAAAACGAGAAAATAGTTAAAGTAAGATAAAAAAAAGGTAGTAAATATAGAGCAAAAATAATTTAAGAGATAAATGACTCTTAAGCACAATTAGAGG